AGAAATAGCAACTTTAACAATAACCATACATAGAGAAGGTAACATTTCCAGTAAGAAAGGTATACAAATTGAATAATTTGTGTTTGAATCAAGCAGTTGTTTAGGGGAAAGTTAACAGCTGCTTGTAAGGTCAATAACCCAGACCAACTAAAATAATCTTTTCTTCAAGGAAATGAAATTGAAAAGACAGACGCGTAAAATAAAGTCACTTATCTGAAGACTTCAAACCACTTTCCATGTCTGACCTCAGCTTCTGTGAAATACAGTGATGATAACGAAACAGTGGAGATTCAGTAGAATATATGGTGAGTACAAATAAAAAGGAACTAAACAAATACAGGGGATGAACTAATACTGTCTGAGATATTTTATATATAAACTCTGTAAACGGTGAAGGACAGCTTCAGTCTGTCCGTCAGTAAACTCAAACGTGTCCAACAGTTTTTAGGAGACCAGGACTTTACAGCCTGATGTGTCAACGCGTCCATCGACACACTTCTCAGCAGGATAGGGTCGTGCAGGGATAACATATGCAAAGGGACCCCCTTTACAAAAAGCCAAGAGTTTCTTCCATTGGATTTTGGATTATTGGGGAAAATAAGCTCTGTGGCAAACAAACGTTTATGATCCTTACACTTTTATGATAATCAAATAGCAGGAAGCACAATATTTGTCAGGTTAAATATCAATTAAAATACAATTTTGAATGAATTACTGTGAAGCCGCAGAGATATCGCGGCGTAATAATTGTACTCTACAGACTTTTTATGTCACTTGTTAGACGCTTTTATCCAACGTGATGATGATGGTCAATTCTCCTAATATCGTGAATCATACCGCTGCTGCAATATCAGTCGAAATAATCCCACTAAGTTATCTTTCTGTATTTGTCAACGTATTTTATGTCGTGGAATAAAACTCTTCAGCTTGTGTTAACCACAGAACTCATTCAAACAAACCATTGACTTCCAAACGAAGGAACCAAGTATGCTCAATCCAAGGTTTTTAGGACTTTCCTGCACCACTCAATATGGACCCAGAAGCCGTAACTTTCTAACGTATTTTATGCCATAGAATAAAACGTGAACAACTCGTCAGCTTGTGTTAACCACAGAACTCATTTCCAACCTTTTAACCCAAAACACATTCAAACAAACCATTGACTTCTAGACGAAGGAACCAGAAATGTAGTCCAAGGTCTTCAACTCAAGTCAAAATCAAAGTCAGTCGCGGTCAAAGTCTTTTTTAGGACTCATTCCATTCCTGCACCACTCTATAAGGACCCAGAATCAGTTGACTCTTCCTCCTCAGCAGTGCGTCCCCACGTGGCTGCAGGAGGCGGATGTGGACGGCTCCCCACGAAGCGTCCCAAACGGAGACAACTCCAGTTCGGCGGAGGTGATATCATTCTCGTTGTCGCTGGTTTCGGCGTCGGAGCGCGACGACGTGCCACATTCTTCGCAGCAGCAGCAGCAGCAGTCCAGGAAGGCTCTGGTGAAGGGCTGGCAGAGCGAGAAGAGCAACACGGGCGTCACCGCAGACTTACAGAACAGCAGCATCTGGCTGACCAGCTGCAGGATGTCCAGTGTCCTGCGAGGGATTCCCGCCGCCATGTACGCCCAGATGATGTTGCAGATGTTCTCCGGGATGATGCAGAAGCCGTAGAGGATCGCCAACGCCACGACCGCACAGTTCATCTGGCTCTCCAGCTGGATCTGCTTCTGAAGAGGAGATGAGATAAGATACAATAGATAAGTCAAGATGGTCAAGATAAGTCAAGATAAGATAAGTCAAGATAAGTTAAGATAAGTCAAGATAAGTCAAGATATGTTAAGATAAGTCAAGATAAGTTAAGATAAGTCAAGATAAGTCAAGATAAGTCAAGATAAGTCAAAGATAAGTCAAGATAAGTCAAGATAAGTCAAGATAAGTCAAGATAAGTTAAGATAAGTCAAGATAAGTCAAGATAAGTCAAGATAAGTCAAGATAAGTCAAGATAAGATAAGTCAAGATAAGTCAAGATAAGATAAGTCAAGATAAGTCAAGATAAGATAAGTCCAGATAAGTTAAAAATATTTCAAGATCAAATAAGTCAAGATACTGTTAGGCAAGATAAGACAAGATAAGATAAGTCAAGATAAGTCAAGATAAGTCAAGATAAGTTAAGATAAGTCAAGATAAGTTAAGATAAGTCAAGATACTGTTAGTCAAGATAAGTTAAGATAAGTCAAGATAAGTCAAGATAAGTTAAGATAAGTCAAGATAAGTCAAGATACTGTTAGTCAAGATAAGTCAAGATAAGTCAAGATACTGTTAGTCAAGATAAGTTAAGATAAGTCAAGATAAGTCAAGATACTGTTAGTCAAGATAAGTTAAGATAAGTCAAGATAAGTTAAGATAAGTCAAGATAAGTTAAGATAAGTCAAGATACTGTTAGTCAAGATAAGTTAAGATAAGTTAAGATAAGATAAGTCAAGATAAGTTAAGATAAGTTAAGATACTGTTAGTCAAGATAAGTTAAGATAAGTCAAGATAAGTTAAGATAAGTCAAGATACTGTTAGTCAAGATAAGTTAAGATAAGTCAAGATAGGATAAGATAAGATAAGTCAAGATAAGTTAAGATAAGTTAAGATAAGTCAAGATACTGTTAGTCAAGATAAGTCAAGATAAGTCAAGATAAGTCAAGATAAGTCAAGATAAGTCAAGATACTGTTAGTCAAGATAAGTCAAGATAAGTCAAGATAAGTCAAGATAAGTCAAGATAAGTCAAGATACTGTTAGTCAAGATAAGTCAAGATAAGTCAAGATAAGTCAAGATAAGTCAAGATAAGTTAAGATAAGTCAAGATAAGTCAAGATACTGTTAGTCAAGATAAGTCAAGATAAGTCAAGATAAGTCAAGATAAGTTAAGATAAGTCAAGATAAGTTAAGATAAGTCAAGATACTGTTAGTCAAGATAAGTTAAGATAAGTCAAGATAAGTTAAGATAAGTCTAAGACTAAGTCAAGAGTTACTGTTAGTCAAGATAAGTCAAGATAAGTCAAGATAAGTCAAGATAAGTCAAGATAAGTTAAGATAAGTCAAGATAAGTCAAGATAAGTCAAGATAAGTCAAGATAAGTTAAGATAAGTCAAGATAAGTCAAGATAAGTCAAGATAAGTTAAGATAAGTCAAGATACTGTTAGTCAAGATAAGTTAAGATAAGTCAAGATAAGTTAAGATAAGTCAAGATAAGTCAAGATAAGTCAAGATACTGTTAGTCAAGATAAGATAAGAAACAAATACAATAGAGAAAAGGAAAGAAAATGGCTCTTTTCGTACATTCTTGCTGCCTCGAACACACTCTCTCTCTGCGCGTCGGATCTTGCGTGCGGTGAGCAGCGAGCTGAAGATGGTGAAGAGCGTGGGGAGGCAGAAGTAGCATCCGAAGTACCACCAGAGACGGGCGCCATCATACGTCAGGCCGAGGACGTACAGCGTGTCCGGCAGATCGGTGGAGATCCGAACCACGCAGCGCTCGCACGGCTCTACGTTTGGCGGGTCGCTGTCCTCCGTCACCAGCTGTCGGATCAGAAGCTCGGGCAGCGCCAGCAGCAAGGCGCCAATCCAGATTACGGCCAGTTTGGCGGTGGTGGACGCCCAGTTCTCGATCATCTCGTAGTACATCTGCACGTTGGAGGCGGCGCGGAAACGGTCGATGCATAAAGCGCAGAGAGTGAAGGTCGTGACCCCGAGAGACGCCACCTGGTGGAGGAGAGGAGAGTGAGGTTAGACTTTGTAGGAAAACCTCAAATTCAGGTTCCTGCAACATTAGGGTTAATAAAAAGAAGTGTAACAATTGCAAACATTTTAACCCAAGATGGAGACATTAAAGGTCCCCTATTATACTGTTTTTCATCAATATATTATAGGTCTCCAGAACCTGTCTCTGATTGGCTGAAACACCAAACAGATCATTGCAGCATTACCCATAATCCCCTCTGTTTCAGCCCTGTTTCCAAAGTGCAGATTCTCTGTCTGTTACTTTCAGACAGGTTTGTATAGAAATGGATCAAAAAGAGAGAGCATCTTTGTTCCTGAAACTTTCAGAGTCTCTTTCCACAGAGGGGACACATGTTGATGTAGAAGAGACATGAAGAAGAGGGGACACATGTTGATGTAGAAGAGACATGAAGAAGAGGGGACACATGTTGATGTAGAAGAGACATGAAGAAGAGGGGACACATGTTGATGTAGAAGAGACATGAAGAAGAGGGGAACACATGTTGATGTAGAAGAGACATGAAGAAGAGGGGACACATGTTTGATGTAGAAGAGACATGAAGAAGAGGGGACACATGTTGATGTAGAAGAGACATGAAGAAGAGGGGACACATGTTGATGTAGAAGAGACATGAAGAAGAGGGGACACATGTTGATGTAGAAGAGACATGAAGAAGAGGGGGACACATGTTGATGTAGAAGAGACATGAAGAAAGAGGGGACCACATGTTGATGTAGAAGAGACATGAAGAAGAGGGGGACACATGTTGATGTAGAAGAGACATGAAGAAGAGGGGACACATGTTAGATGTAGAAGCGACATGAAGAAGAGGGGACACATGTTGATGTAGAAGAGACATGAAGAAGAGGGGGACACATGTTTGATGTAGAAGAGACATGAAGAAGAGGGGACACATGTGATTGTAGAAGAGACATGGAAGAAGAGGGGGACACATGTTGATGTAGAAGAGACATGAAGAAGAGGGGGACACATGGATGTAGGTAGAAGAGACATGAGGAAGAGGGGACACATGTTGATGTAGAAGAGACATGAAGAAGAGGGGACACATGTTGATGAAGAAGAGACATGAAGAAGAGGAGACACATGTTGATGAAGAAGAGACATGAAGAAGAGGGGACACATGTTGATGTAGAAGAGACATGAAGAAGAGGGGACACATGTTGATGTAGAAGAGACATGAAGAAGAGGGGACACATGTTGATGTAGAAGAGACATGAAGAAGAGGGGACACATGTTGATGTAGAAGAGACATGAAGAAGAGGGGACACGTGTTGATGTAGAAGAGACATGAAGAAGAGGGGACACATGTTGATGTAGAAGAGACATGAAGAAGAGGGGACACATGTTGATGTAGAAGAGACATAAAGAAGAGGGGACACATGTTGATGTAGAAGAGACATGAAGAAGAGGGGGACACATGTTGATGTAGAAGAGACATGAAGAAGAGGAGACACATGTTGATGAAGAAGAGACATGAAGAAGAGGGGACACATGTTGATGTAGAAGAGACATGAAGAAGAGGGGACACATGTTGATGTAGAAGAGACATGGAGAAGAGGGGACACATGTTGATGTAGAAGAGACATGAAGAAGAGGGGACACATGTTGATGTAGAAGAGACATGAAGAAGAGGGGACACATGTTGATGTAGAAGAGACATGAAGAAGAGGGGACACGTGTTGATGTAGAAGAGACATGAAGAAGAGGGGACACATGTTGATGTAGAAGAGACATGAAGAAGAGGGGACACATGTTGATGTAGAAGAGACATGAAGAAGAGGGACACATGTTGATGTAGAAGAGACATGAAGAAGAGGGGACACATGTTGATGTAGAAGAGACATGAAGAAGAGGGGACACGTGTTGATGTAGAAGAGACATGAAGAAGAGGGGACACATGTTGATGTAGAAGAGACATGAAGAAGAGGGGACACATGTTGATGTAGAAGAGACATGAAGAAGAGGGGACACGTGTTGATGTAGAAGAGACATGAAGAAGAGGGGACACATGTTGATGTAGAAGAGACATGAAGAAGAGGGGACACATGTTGATGTAGAAGAGACATGAAGAAGAGGGGACACGTGTTGATGTAGAAGAGACATGAAGAAGAGGGGACACATGTTGATGTAGAAGAGACATGAAGAAGAGGGGACACATGTTGATGTAGAAGAGACATGAAGAAGAGGGGACACATGTTGATGTAGACTTCTTGGAGGAATTAGATAATCTCCTCTCACACATCCCTGAAACTGGCCCTCCCGCTGTACTTCTCGGAGACTTCAACCTCCAGACGGGGAAGATAGACGAACTAACATCTCTGTTAACCGCCTTTGCTTTCTCACTCTCTCCGTCCCCACCGACTCATAAAGCTGGCAATGTCCTTGATCTCATATTCTCAAGGAACTGCGCTACTTCTAACCTCTCTGTAAACCCGCTCCACACATCCGATCACTTCTTCATTTCATTCTCTCTATCCCTTTCCAAACATAACAAACTAATCTCTTCCCATCCTACACTTGTCCGCCGTAACCTTCGCTCCCTCTCTCCCTCTACCTTTGCCTCGTCGGTGCTCTCAGCCCTCCCTTCCTCTGATTCGTTCCAACTACTGCCTCCAAACTCTGCTGCAGAAACTCTCCTCTCTACTCTCTCATCCACTCTGGACTCGCTCTGTCCTCTGACATCTCGGCAGGCTCGTCAGTCCCCTCCGGCTCCCTGGCTAAATGATGCACTGCGTGCTAATAGAACCGTCCTTAGGGCAGCAGAGCGGAAATGGTGGAAATCCAAACACCGTGACGACCTCCTAACCTATCAAGCTCTCCTCTCCTCTTTCTCTGCTTCGATCTCTCAGGCAAAAAGCACTTTCTTTCAAGATAAGATCCAATCTTCCTATTCCAATCCTAAAAAACTATTTTCCATCTTCTCCACCCTCTTGGACCCTCCAAAAGCTCCTCCCCCCTCCTCACTTCTGTCAAGCGACTTTGTTACCCACTTTGAAAAAAAGGTTAATGATATTCGCTCTTCTTTTTCTGACTCACCTTTACTCACCGCTGGGTCACCAGACCTTCCTTCCACCAACACACTGACCTCCTTTTCCCCTCTCTCTCCAAGTGAGGTTCTTACCCTCATTACCTCTGCCCGCCCCTACCACCTGTCCTCTGGACCCTATCCCTTCAAACCTCCTTCAGACTATCGCTCCTGATATTCTACCGTTTTCTCTCCCATTTCATCAACACTCTCTAACTTCTGGTCACTTTCCAAACAGTCTCAAGGAGGCAAGAGTAAACCCTCTCCTAAAGAAACCCACTCTCAACCCGTCTGATGTTATAAACTACAGGCCTGTCTCTCTCCTCCCGTTCCTGTCTAAATCACTTGAACGCGCTGTCTTTAAAACAACTCTCCTGTTATCTCAATCAGAACAACCTTCTGGATCCGCACCAGTCTGGTTTCAAGGCAGGTCACTCCACAGAAACTGCTCTCATTGCTGTCACGGAGGAACTGCACACTGCCAAAACTGCATCCCTCTCCTCTGTCATCATCCTGTTGGACCTGTCTGCTGCATTCGACACGGTGAATCATCAGATCCTCCTTCGCACTCTCCAAAAACTTGGAGTTTCTGGCTCTGCACTTTCCCTCCTCACCTCATACCTGAAAGACCGTACCTACAGGGTGACTTGGAGAGGGTCTGAGTCCGACCCTTGTCAATTAACTACGGGGGTCCCTCAGGGCTCTGTTCTTGGTCCCCTCCTCTTCTCCTTGTACACAAACTCGCTCGGATCAGTCATTAGCCCGCATGGTTTTTCTTACCACTGCTACGCTGACGACACCCAATTAATTCTGTCCTTTCCCCGCTCAGAGACCCAGGTCGTCGCACGCATCTCTGCTTGTCTAGCTGACATCTCTCAGTGGATGTCTGCTCACCACCTCAAACTCAACCTTGACAAGACTGAGCTGCTCTTCCTCCCGGGAAAAGATTGTCCAACTCTTGACCTGACAATCAACATCGGCACCTCTATTGTTTCCCCGACTCAGACTGCAAGGAATCTGGGTGTGACCCTAGATAACAACCTGTCCTTCACTGCAAACATCGCTGCTACAACCCGCTGCTGCAGATACACGCTTTACAACATCAGGAAGATACGTCCCCAGCTGACACAGAAAGCGACTCAGGTTCTGGTCCAGGCTCTCGTCATCTCACGCCTAGACTACTGCAACTCCCTCCTGGCTGGTCTACCTGCATGTGCCATCCGACCTCTGCAGCTCATCCAGAATGCAGCGGCTCGTCTGGTTTTCAACCTTCCTAAATTCTCCCACACCACTCCGCTCCTCCGCTCCCTTCACTGGCTTCCGGTAACTGCTAGAATCCACTTCAAGACACTGGTACTTGTTTACCGTGCTGCGAATGGATCTGGCCCTGTCTACATCCAGGACATGGTTAAACCGTACACCCCAGCGCGTGCACTACGCTCTGCATCAGCCAAACGACTCGTTGCGCCCCTCGCTGCGAGGGGGACCCAAGTTCCCATCGGCGAAAACACGTGGGTTTGCTATCCTGGCTCCAAGATGGTGGAATGAGCTCCCCATTGACATCAGGACGGCAGATAGCTTGCACATCTTCCGGCGCAAACTGAAAACTCATCTCTTTCGACTCCACTTCGAGCGTTAGAACGATTAACGAAGCACTTTTATACCAATAAAGGACTGGATTACCTAAAGCCAGTTGAGTAGCACTTGAAATGTTTGGCTCTATGAAACCTGATATACTTATATGATTCTGTTTTCTTCAAGGTTGTGTCTTCCTGGTCGAATGTACTTATTGTAAGTCGCTTTGGACAAAAGCGTCAGCTAAATGCAATGTAATGTAATGTAATGTAGAAGAGACATGAAGAAGAGGGGACACATGTTGATGTAGAAGTTGATGTCAAGAATATTTGGAGAAAATATTCAGAAACATTTGAGTTT